CTACTACTACTACTACTACTACTACTACTACTACTACTACTAGTACTACTAGCACTGCCGCTGCTACTCCTACTACTGTTACTGCTACTACTACTACCACTACTACTACTACTACTACTACTACTACTACTACTACTACTACTACTACTACTACTACTACTACTACTACGACTACTACTACTACCACTGTTTCTACTACTAGTACTACTACTACTACTACTGCTACTACTACGACTACGACTACTTATATTTTAATTTATACTTCTACTGCTACTACGACTACAACGACGACGACTACTACTACTACTACTACTACTAGGACTACTACCACTACTGCTACTACTACTACTACTACTACTACTCCTACTACTACTACTACTACTACTACTACTACTACTACGACGACGACGACTGCTACTATTACTACTATTATTACTATTACTACGACTACTACTGTTACTACTACCCTATTCCTCCTACACCTCATGTCCTCCTCTTCCTTCTCCTCGTCCTCCTCCGGATCCTCTTCCACATTCCCCTTTGTTTCCTCCTCCTCATCCTCATATTCCTCCTCCTCCGCCTCCTCCTCCTCTTCTTCCTACTCCATTCCTTTCCCTTATAGATAACTTTTCCCTGTCGCGCACGTCAACCGGTTTTTAGGGCGGGCCGGGCGTTCCGCCTGAGACGTCCTCACCTGTTATGACCCTGAATCTTACAAGGTGGCAACCGTTTCGCAGATGGAGGGCGGGTGGCTTTAAAAATGTGAATCTCGCCCCGGCGCCGTGCACATTCGTTCTAAAACATTGAAGAGTTTCGCGGATTGAGGGCGGGTCGTTTTCAAAATGTGGCTCTCGTCTCAGCGCCGCGCACATTCGTTCAACAAAATTTGGAAGCAAGATTCTCACGGATTGAGAGCGGGTCATTTTCAGTGGCTCTCGCCCACGCGCCGCTCACATTCTTTAAAACATATGCAAGAGCTTCACGGATTGAGGGCAACTCGTTTGCAAAATGTGGCTCTCATCTGAACGCCGTGCACTTTCGTTTTGGAAATTTGCAAGAACTTCAAGGATTGAGGGCGGTTCCTTCTAAATATGTGGTTCTCGCCTGAGCGCCGCCTGCATTTGTTATGACATTTATAATAAGTTCACGGATTCCCATGATTAACGTACCAGAAAGGGCACTCTGGAAATGCCCGCTTATGCGGGCGCAACAATTAAGTTGATTCGCGGTGTCGAATTCCCAGGAATGGCGTTCTGGCACGATTCAGGCTCGTCAAGACGCAACAGTCAGGTTGATCCGTGGCGGAGGAGGAAGAGGAGGACGAGGAGGATTACCACGCTCGCTATAGGCTGTAAGGCTACCAACAGTCTTTGAAGATTAAGCGGCCGTCGGAGAAATACTGGTGCCTGCGACCTTGCAGGAAACCAGACTCCAGTATTTAGCCCCCCAAAAAAACCCATCCTCAAAGTCGGAGGCATGGCAGAAAGCTATCCACCAGTGGCTGGCGCCAAATACCCATAAACACCTTTTGCTTGCCAGCGGTCGTGAGGGAACCGGCCCAGGTTATCCCTATGGTAGGTTTCGGCCGTACCTCGGGAGGTACTACCTACTGTCCATAGATGACACGTTGCCCTAATAGTAGTACTAGTAGTAGTCGTAGTAGTAGTAGTAGTAGTAGTAGTAGTAGTCGTCGTCGTCGTCGTCGTCGTCGTCGTCGTCGTCGTCGTCGTCGTCGTCGTCGTCGTCGTCGTCGTCGTCGTATTAGTAGTAGTAGTAGTAGTAGTAGTAGTAGTAGTAGTAGTCGTAGTAGTAGTAGTAGTAGTGTAGTATGTCAGTAGTCGTGGAAGTAGTAGTACAGTAGTAGTAGTAGTAGTAGTAGTAGTAGTAGTAGTAGTAGTAGTAGTAGTAGTAGTCGTAGTAGTAGTAGTAGTAGTAGTAGTAGTAGTAGTAGTAGTAGTAGTAGTAGTAGTAGTAGTGGTAGTGGTAGTAGTAGTAGTAGTAGTAGTAGTAGTAGTAGTAGTCGTAGTCGTAGTCGTAGTCGTAGTCGTAGTCGTAGTCTTAGTCGTAGTCGTAGTCGTAGTCGTAGTCGTAGTCGTAGTCGTAGTCGTAGTCGTAGTAGTAGTCGTAGTCGTAGTAGTAGTAGTAGTAGTAGTAGTAGTAGTAGTAGTAGTAGTAGTAGTAGTAGTAGTAGTAGTAGTAGTAGTAGTAGTAGTAGCGGTAGCAGCAGTAGTAGTAGTAGTAGTAGTAGTAGTAGTAGTAGTAGTAGTAGCACTAGTAGTAGTAGTCGTGGTCGTAGTCGTAGTAGTAGTAGTAGTAATAGTAGTAGTAGCAGTAGTAGTAGTAGTAGTAGTAGTATTAGTAGTAGTGGTAACTGTAGTAGTAGTGGTAGTCGTAGTAGTCGTCTTAGTCGTAGTAGTCATAAACGCAGCCGGAAGTAGAAAAAGAGAGAGAGAGCAACATTCGGCATGCTTTATAATCATCAAACGGTTGTCTTCCGACAAGGCAGTTCCCTCAGTGGAGATGAACCGTTGTAGGAGCCCATGGAGAGGGAGTCTGGAGGGTGGGTGAATTCCATCATCGTTGGTGACTCCTGGGTTTCCACTGGTTTTCCTTGTCATCCTCGTCATCCACTGGGTGACCTACTTTTCCTCGTCATCCTCGTCCTCCTCCTCCTCCTCCTCCTCCTCCTCCTCCTCCTCCTACTCTTCCTCCTCCTCCTCCAGCTCGTCCTCCTCCTCCTACTCCTGTTCTTCCTCCTCCTCCACCTCCTCTTCCTTCTCCTCCTCCTCCTCCTACTACTACTCTTCCTCCTCTCTCTCCTCCTCCCTCCTCTGCCTACTGCTCCTCCTCCTCCTCTTCCTCCTCCTCGTCCCTCCTCCTCGTCCTCTTCCTCCTCCGCATCCTCCTCCTCTCCCTCCTCCACCTCCTCCTCTTCCGCCTCCTCCTCCTCCTCCTCCTCCTCCTCCTACTCCTCCTCCTCCACATCCGCCTCATCCACCTCTTCATCCTCCTCGTCCTCGTTCTCCTCCTCATGATCCTGATCCTCCTCCTCCTCCTCCTCCTCCTACTCCCCTTCCTCCACATCAGCACCAAGATCAGCATCATCAGCAGCAGCATCATCAACATCATCAGCAGCATCAACATCATCATCAGCATCATCATCATCACCATCACCATCATCATCATCATCATCATCATCATCATCATCATCATCATCATCATCATCATCATCATCATCATCATCATCATCATCATCAGCGAGAGCATCATCCGCATCATCATTATCATCATCATCATCATCATCATCATCATCATCATCATCATCATCATCAGCATCATCATTATCATCAACATCATCATCACCATCATCATCATCATCATCATCATCATCAGCAGCAGCAGCATCAGTATCACCATCATCAGCATCATCATCAACATCATCATTATCATCAACATCATCACCACCATCATCATCATCAGCAGCATCAGTATCGTCGTCGTTACTAGCATCATCAGCAGCATCATCGTCATCATCATCAACATCAGCAGCATCGTCATCATCATCACAGCCACCATCATCATCACCAGCATCATCATCAGCAGCATCATCATCAGCATCAGTATCAGCAGCTTCAGCATCGTAATCATCATCAACAGCAGCATCATCAGCATGAGCGTCATCATCATCATCATCATCAGCATCATCCTCATCATCATCATCATCATCATCATCATCATCATCATCATCATCAGCATAATCATCATCATCAGCCTCCTCAGCAGCATCATCAACATCAGCGTCGTCAATATCAGCATCATGATCATCATCAGCAGCAGCATCATCAGAATCAGCAACAGTATCACCATCATCATCATCACCATCAGTACCATCATCAGCATCGGCATCATCATCGTCAGCAACATCATCAACATTATCATCACAATCATCATCATAATCATAAGCATCATGCTAAGCATCATCATAAGAATAGCCATCATCATCATCATCATCATCATCATCATCATCATCAGTATTCTCATCATCAGCAGCAGCAGCATCCGCATCATCATCAGCAGCATCATCATTTGCATCACCATCATCATCATCATCATCAGCAGCATCATCAACAGCATCATCATCATCATCAGCAAAAGCATCATCATTAGCATCACCATCAGCATCATAAGCATCATCATCAGCAGCATCATCATCAGTATCATCAATATCAGCAGCATCATCATCATTAGCAGCATCAGAAAAATCAGTTTCATAATCTGCAACAGCATCAGCATTATCAGCATTTGCATCATCATCAGTATCATCATCATCACCATCACAATCACCATCTTCAACATCATTATCAGCATCAACATCATCATTAGCATCATCATCATCACCGTCATCAGCATCATCATCCTCATCATGATCACCATCATCATCAACGACATCATCCCCCTCCTCGTCCTCGTCCGCGTCCTTGTGCTCGCCCTCCTCCACCTACCCCTCCTCCGCCTCCTCCTCCTCCTCGCCAGTCTCCCCCTCCTCATCCACGCACGACGTGCGAGGGACCTGTCCTCTGCGTTGTTCTCGAGCACCGCCTCGAGCCCCTGGGTCTGGGACGCCGCGCCCGGCCCGACGCCGCCGATGGCGCGGGCGGCCGCCACGACCACTCCTCGGGTTCTTTTTCCAGTTCCTTCTCCAGGTCCTCCTCGCCCTTTTCCTCCTCCTCCTCCTCCTCCTCCTCCTCCTCCTCAACCTCCTCCTCCTCCTCCTCCTCCTCCTCCTCCTTCCCTTCATTTTTCTCCTCCTCCTCCTCCTCCTCCTCCTCCTCCTCCTCCTCCTCCTCCTCCTCCTCCTCCTCCTCCCTCCTCCTCCTCCCCCTTCTCTCCTCCTCCTCCTCGTCCTCGTCCTCCTCTCCTCCTCTTCATCCTCCTCTTCCTCTCTATCCTCCTCCTCCTACCCTCCTCCTCCTCCTCCTCCTCCTCCTCCTCCTCCTCCTCCTCCTCCTCCTCCTCCTCCTCCTCCTCTCCTCCATCATCATCATCATCATCATCATCATCATCTCATCATCATCATCATCATCATCATCATCATCATCATCATCATCATCATCATCATCATCATAATCATCATCATCATGATGATCATGATCCTCCTGTTCCTCCACCTCATATTCCTCCTTTTCTCCTCGTCATCCTTCTTCTCCTCATCCCCGAACTCCTCCACGTTTTTATCATCATCTTCATGCATCCTCGTCTTCACACCCCCCCTCCCCCTCCATCTCTCCCTCCTCCCCCTTCATTCTGAATGTAGCGCGCAACGACGCGCCCCGCAGGGAAGACAGAGAAAAGGCCCCCATGCATGGTCCATGGGTGCGCGGTTGTAGTTGGGTTCCGCGGTGCGGATTGTCGTTTATACTGTCGTCGTCTTCGCCCAGACCCGCCCGCGACCTTCCCGCGACCCACCCGCGGCCCATCTTTGACTCACATTTGACCCACCAGCGACCCACCAACCCGCGAGGCACCGACGTTGCTTTGATGAAGAGATCGGCGCGTGCGGTGGGTTCGTTGTGTATTGCATCGAAAATCGCAGCCCGCGACGGGCGTTTCCAATTTTTCCTTCGAACCTGGCAGAATGCCGACGACCCCCGCCCCCCAGCCCCCATCGCTTACCCGCGAAGGCGGGGACCATAGCATTCACATCCCCCATCCTTGCCCCATCCATCGTCATTCTACACTGCACCGATGCCATGTGGAGGCACCGGCCTGCTCGGCAGCACGGCTGATGATTGGTCAGTTTGCCCCCCACTTCGTCCTGGCCCACCGAGACTCCTACATTTCGTCCTCCTTGAGCTCGTCCTCGTTCTTGATCGTGTTCCTCCCCCTCCCCCTCCATATGTTCCTCCTCCTCGTCCCCCTTCCCCTCCTGATCCTGGAACCGCATCAGCTGGGACGATGTCCGATGAAACCCCTTTATGTACGTTTTATGCTAACCCGCGCGGGCCCCAAATTAATGTGTAGATTAACGATGTCGCGAGTTGTCTTTTTGTTTCTCTCTCTCTCTCTCTCTCTCGCGCGCGCTATGTTTTTCCATGTGTGCCTCACTCTATCGTTATTTCCTGCTCTCCCGTTATGCGCATGTATAAGCAAGTACGGTGTTATATATATATATATATATGTGTGTGGTGATATCGTGGGTGCGCAATCTATGGTGTGCAACACACGTTGTAAAATTTACGTGGCGCGATATCCGTGGTGCAATATACGTTGTCCAACCCATGTAGTGCAATATGCGTGGTGCCATATACGGTGTGCGATATATGTGGTACAGGCTGTGGCCCAGCCCATGTGATGCAAAAGGATCTAGCTGCTGCAATCTATGTGTGCCCTCTATGTACGTGATGCAACCTACGTGGTGCCACCTATTTGGCGCCACTGGTTTTTACAAATGAGCTGACACATCCCCCGCCATCGCAAACACCCCACCCACCCACCCGAAATCTGCCATTTTTATTTCGAAACCCATGCGAAGGCCAGCGCGATGCGTGCGCAGCGTTGACTGGTGCATCTCCGCGGACGCGCTAGCCCGCGCATGCTCGCGCGCACAGCGGCCAGCTAGTCCGGCGCGACCGACGCGGCCGCGGCGGCACTGACCAGGGCGAAGCCCTCCCACAACTGCAACCCCTGGGTCAGCGTCCAGACGCCCAGCAGCTGTCAGAACACATGCGCTCGCTACCTCGCGTCTCATGCTAGGGCGCCCGATGCATCGCTCGCCGCTGCGCCCCATGTGCCCACGCCATCCTGCGCCGCCCTCGTCTTGGATCAGGTCAGAATGAAAAATTACATGAGACGCCAGCGAGACGCCACGGCTTGCGCCATGCGCGCCATTAGGGCGTCGCGTAGCTCTCGTCCCAAATGCGATGTTCTGAACGCGGCAGCGCCACTCTGCCTGCCACGGCAAAGCTCCGGCGATTCTGGGCCCAGCGCGCAGCTCGGCGGGCGGGGCCCTGAAGCTGGCGTCTCTCGCGGCGAGAGACCACTGCGCGCACTTGACACAGCGCGGGGCCGTTCAGCAGAAGGCCCTCGCCGAACTGCAGGATGCACGAAAGGACCGCACGGAACCGAGAACCGAGAACCGTGACCGAACCGGACCGAACCGGTCCAAAACCAGGAACGTAGAAAACCGAACCGGACCGAACCGAATTCATTCAGAACCGAACCGGCGAGGGCCGAACCGAACCAGAACCGGAACCGAACCGGAACCGGGCGGCCCCCGAACCGACGGGAACCGAACCGAACCCCTTTCCCCTCTGGTCCGGACCCCAGGACCCCGATGACCCCCAGGACTCCGGGACCCCGATGACCCCAGAACCTCCCGAAGATTCCCGCGACCCCTCCTCCTCTTCCTCCTTCTCCTCCTCCACCTCCTCCTCCTCCTCTCCTCCGCCTCCTCCGTTTCCTCCTCCTCCTCCTCTCCTCCTCCTCCTCTCCTCCTCCTCCTCCTGCTCCTCCCCCCCCCCTCCCTTTCTCTCCCCCTCCCCCCCCTCCTCCTCCTCCTCGCTCCTCCTCCTCCTCCTCCTCTCCTCCTCCTCCTCCTCCTCCTCCTCTGTCCTCCCCCTCCTCCTCCCCCCGGGGTCCTTGGCAAGGGCCCCCGGGGCCCCGGGGCCCCAAGGCCCCAGGGCCCAGGACCCCATGACCCCCAGACCGCGGGACCCCGGGACCCAAGGATCCCCGGGACCCCGTTGGAGTCCGCCGAATCCAGCACCTGGCTGGCGGGCGCGCGCAACGACGACGACGACGACGACGACGACGACGACGACGACGACGACGACGACGACGACGACGACGACGACGACGACGACGACGACGACGACGACGACGACGGTCCGCTCAAAATCGGTCCCAGAACCTTTCCTCTTGGAATCTATTCCAGCCTGGTGTCAGCAGGTGTGCCCTGTCGGGCCCCCGAAGCCCCCGCGGGGGGCAAAAGCAGGAAAACCAAACAAAAAACACCTTCGGACCGACGACGACCGACGACGGCGGCGGCGTCGGCGGGCGCGGGCGTCGGCAAGCGTCCGTCGTCGTCGTCGTCGTCGCCGTCGTCGTCGGGGGGCCGCGGGGGAGCCCCGGGGGATCCCCTGGCGACCCTCCTGGCAGCCCCCCTGGTGACCCCCCTGGCGACCCGCGACGGCGACGGCGACGGCGGCGGCGACGGCGGCGGCGGCGGCGGCGACAGCGACAGCGACATCGACTTCGACCCCCTGGCGGGTGCGACCCCCCTCGCGGGTGCGACCCCCCTCGCGGGTGCGACCCCCCGGCGGGCGCGACCCCCCTCGCGGGTGCAACCCCCCTGGCGGACGCAACCCCCCTGGCGGGTGCAACCCCCCTGGCGGGCGCAACCCCCCTGGCGGGCGCAACCCCCCTGGCGGGTGCAACCCCCCTCGCGGGCTGTGACCCCCCTCGCGGGTGCGACCCCCCTCGCGGGCTGCGACCCCCCTGGCGGGCGCGACCCCCCTCGCGGGCTGTGACCCCCCTCGCGGGTGCGACCCCCCTCGCGGGCTGTGACCCCCCTGGCGGGCGCGATCCCCCTGGGCGCAACCCCCCTCGCGGGTGCAACCCCCCTGGCGGGCGCAACCCCCCTGGCGGGTGCAACCCCCCTGGCGGGCGCAACCCCCCTGGCGGGCGCAACCCCCCTGGCGGGTGCAACCCCCCTGGCGGGTGCAACCCCCCTGGCGGGCGCAACCCCCCTGAGCCTGGCGGGTGCAACCCCCCTCGCGGGTGCAACCCCCCTCGCGGGTGCAACCCCCCTGGCGGGTGCAACCCCCCTCGCGGGTGCAACCCCCCTGGCGGGTGCAACCCCCCTGGCGGGTGCAACCCCCCTGGCGGGCGCAACCCCCCTGGCGGGTGCAACCCCCCTGGCGGGTGCAACCCCCATGGCGGGTGCAACCCCCCTCGCGGGCGCAACCCCCCTGGCGGGTGCAACCCCCCTGGCGGGTGCAACCCCCCTGGCGGGTGCAACCCCCCTGGCGGGTGCAACCCCCCTGGCGGGTGCAACCCCCCTGGCGGGCGCGACCCCCCTGGCGGGTGCAACCCCCCTGGCGGGTGCAACCCCCCTGGCGGGTGCAACCCCCCTGGCGGGTGCAACCCCCCTGGCGGGTGCAACCCCCCTGGCGGGCGCGACCCCCCTGGCGGGTGCAACCCCCCTGGCGGGCTGCGACCCCCCTGGCGGGTGCGACCCCCCTGGCGGGCGCGACCCCCCTGGCGGGCGCGACCCCCCTCGGGGCCGCGACCCCCCTCGGGGCTGCGACCCCCCTCGGGGCTGCGACCCCCGTCGGGGCACGTCGCTGGAGGGCCTCGCGCCTCCACGCCTCCACGTTTCTCCTCCTCCCCCCCTCTCCCTTCGTTCCTCCTCCTCAAAACTGGGTCGTCGCTTACGCAGACGGGGCGCCCAACGTCGCACCTGACCAGTCGGGCCGAACCGAACCGGAGCGGCCACTCGAACCGAACCGAACCGGTCGGACCCAACCGCGCGAAAACCGGAACCGAACCGAACCGGCGGCAGGCCCAAGCCGAACCGGCCGAACCCGGACCGATGCCAAACCGAACCGGCCAAGCAAAACCGACCCGGCTGCAGAACCGGACCGAACCGAACCGAGCCGATCCCTTCATGAGG